ATATTGGGAACAAAAACAACATTCCAGAATTATTGGTTAATTTATTTTTATTTTAACCACACCATTCTTTAAGGAATCAATTTGAAAAGCACATACGATAGGCCATGTGCATACATGTGGTTTGGAGGAAGTATGTTTATGTTTCTTTCATACATGACAAGTCATTAGAAAATTAGAATTGAATTCTACCTATACAAGTAATGATACAAAGCAGTATTTTCCCAGTAAATAATACAGCCAGCACTGCATTGGACAGTAAGGGGAGTGGTCCACTGAGGCCTTTAGAAAGGAGCTGAGGCTGGAGAGGAGTGGGGAGGTCATTTCAGGTGGAAAACGTGTAGCAGAGAGACTGCTCTTCTCTCCTTGCTGCGCAGTGTGGCCCAGACCAATAGCATTGTTGAAGCTGATCAGAAATGCAGAATCTCCACCTCTACCCCAGACCTTGTTTCCGACTCTGCGAGCTAATTTTTGGGAAGCACCATACACACTGTCTGTGTCATGTGGCACAACCTGCTACGGACTAGAGAAGCATCCCCTCTAACCCTCAAGATAGGGTAGTATAGTTACGCACAAGTAAGTCAGAAAAGGATGTACCATTAGCATCAAGTTTTATTGGAGCAAAGCATGAAGTTCAGAGAGATTTGATTTTCTTCACGTTCACTAGAGCTGAGGTTCAGACTCAGAGGTACGGACTCACATGCTTTTCACAGCACACAGTGAGCTAAGTCGTGCTTGGGGAATCAAGTAGGCCAGCACACAGAGCTTGGATGTGGACAAGTTAGCAGTTGGACCATGTGAAATTTATCATTTCTCCATTAATATGTTTCATTCAGAAGAGCTTCCTGAGAAGTTTCAGGGAAACTGATATGGAGGCATGGTATGGATGGATTAGAATAGGGAGAAGAGAATACTTACACTCCAGTTATGCAGAATATTTAAGTGCTGAGTCCTATACACAAATTATATGGTAAGTCAGTCTTCTTAGTTTCTTTTTGTGTTTCTGGGACACCTACAAGTTAATGGAGGAACAGTTTATTTTAATTCAAAGTTTGTAGAGGTTTCAGTCCATAGTTGCCTCCAAGGCAGAGCAGCATGGAGGGGAGAAATGGTCCATGGCAGAGGATGCAGGAGGCAGCAAGCAGCCTGCATTTTCTCTTTCCATTTATATCCTATCTAGGCTACGTGTCTATTGATTGGTGTCACTTGCACCCAGGGTAGGGCTTCTGATTTCAGTACATCCTTCTGGCCATGCCCAGAACTATGCTAATCCAACTAGGGGCTAATACAGATATTCCACATCCTTAATCCATGTTCACACACCCTAGATCCAGCTGCTTCCAAAAAGCCCCACCTAGGAGCACATGAAGCTTTGAGGGGCCATCTAGACACAAGCCATAACATCAGGCAGCCATTGAATGCCGCCTTTGTGCTGGGTACTGTGCTCATGATCCTGCCTTCGTGATTGAGGTCTTGCTACTGCATTTGATACCTCAGTACTAAATGCATAAAAGACTAACAGTAAGGACAGTAAAATCATCTTTGATGTGCCCTCCGCTTATTCCCCCTGAAAAAGGCTCTGGTCCCAAAGTTAGGTGGCTGTCATTCTCATCCTGGTTTTTGTCATTAGTGTTACTCAAAACCTTGAATGATTCACTTAATTGCTCCATATCTCATTTATCCTCTTTTGCAGAATAAACATCATACTCAACCATGACTTCACAGTGCAAGATATTGCGGTGATATAATTTATGGGACACATTATAAAAGCTTATAATGGTGTCAATATAAAATTACTTTTAATACTTCACTTTCTGAAACTTTCAAAATTCCAAACCTCTAGTGCATTTTAGTCACTTTGCTAATTATAATTACATTGAAAGGGAGAGGGAAAAGAAAAAAGCTCCAGCCATCTGTGGCACTTGTCCTTCCCTGAAGGTAGAGCCAGAGATGATGATTTATTTGGGATGTTGTTCGTCCCACTCGGAAAGAGAATGGATGGTGGTTTCTTATTGTGGCTTTAAGGCCCATCTGCTGATGGTTACAATTTCATTAGACAAAAATATGTGGGTAGATGTGTGCATGGAAGTGGTAGAGTAATAGTAGAAGAAAAAATGAGAGGATGTTTTTGTTTGCTGGGGAAAAGGTACAGGATGTGTGAGCTATGTGAGATGGTCAGAGTCAAAGGTGGCACATTAGGGAAAACCACCTCCATGTTCTGTGTGCAGGTGGTGCGTCCCCATGGCTAATGCAGGGCTAAGCTATCTCTGACTACCTATAACCATGTGATCTGTGTATGTGGCTCGGGATGGAGCACCTAACTAACCTGTATGCAGAGTTTAATCCTCGCTTCTCTGACCGAATCTCACAATGCCCATTGCATAGTATTTATCGCACAGTATAATTGCTGTCTACCTACGCTGTCTCCCTCATGGCCAGCAAAACCGAGCATAGCCATAGATCCTTTTAAGGTTTTGTTGAGGCTGGCGTTGTATAGAAGAGCTGCAGGTTTACCTTGGATGTGTGTGTGTGTGTGTGTACACACTTGTGCATTAAGTGGGCTAGGGAGACCCTGCAGGGCAGGAGGAGGACAGAAAAATAGAAAATGTTTACTGTGCCTGCAGATTGCTAGACATGGAACTGTTTAATGCTGTTTAATAAGGATAATTCTTATTAGCTAGGTTTCCTGCATTGTGATTCTCTGTACTATGATTAATGGTTTATTTATATCAGCCCCAATTCTTCATTTTTAACTACTTTCTGTCAATTGTAGTGTTTGCTGAGAATGGTGACCTTCATAATGAAACACGACTCAGATGAGAGGACCCCTTTGAACATTGCCCCTTTTACTTAAAACATTGTGTGTCATAGAACAAGACAAAAGCACGATGTGTTCGTATACACTCAGTGGAAACCTGGACTAGAACTGGCATGTAGTTAGCACTGTAGGAGCATTGCTGTTATTGTTAATGGTCCATCTTTGCCGCCTACTCATTCCTTCGCCCAGTGTGTAGGCCCTGGGTATTTGTTTTGGGAGCCAAAGGTGAGTAGACGTAAATATGCAGTGCAGAAAGGAATGTGGGCTCCAGGCAGTCTACATGGAGCTTTGTGGGTGAGCAGAAGCAGGGAAAGATGTCTGGAGGGCTGAGGGGAAGGCAGACGGCAAGAAGGCCACATCTGCACTTGCACCTTGGTGGACGGGAAAAGTTCAAACGTTCAGGGCAGGACAAGGGACCTGCCACATCGCATGTGATGTGCACAGAAGTAGGAAAGACCACATTCAGAGAGATTATATGGCTAGTTTTCTTTGCCTGACTGAAGGCTGTTCATTCAGCAGCACATGTGTTTTGAGTCATCTCAGAAGAACTCTCTTGCCCCCTGTTTTCCATGCCTTTATACCCATCAATTAAATCCCAGAAGATTGTAATCAGGGAGGGCAGTCGCTAAACAGATGAAGATGACTTTGTAATTATAGCTGCTGCTCAATGTGTAATCTGTCTGTTCTTGGAATTATTAAGGTTTTTATTTTTATAAGCTTGTTGCCTCCTATTCTAAAACATCCTTAATTGTGTGCCAATAGGGGCCAGGAAGCATGTAAACTGGGGGACATGTTTTCTCTTGCATCTTATAATAAATCACAGCACATACTGGCCTATGGCAGCCTTGCATGTCTCAGAAGCCCATTGTCAATCGACTCAAAATAGATTGGGACTGCCTTGTATCCTCTCAGCCTCACCGAGAGGGAAAATCGCATCCTGGGTTTTACATTAGCTTTCTGTTACGATGCATACAATGTCATGACTCCTTTTCTCTTTCCTTGACAGTAATTCCATCATCTAGTGATGATAAATTACTCTGCCTCTGGCTTGTTAGCTTATCCACTTAGCTGAATATGCCCCTGCAGAAGGGTGTGGAAGGAGCCACCCCTGGAATTCTCTGCAATCTGAAGAGGAAACTGTTGAGGAGCCTCTCCACCTTGATGCGCCTCAGTCGGCTCATCTATCCACTGGGCTCGTTATCACATCCCGGGGAGAAATCACAAGCTTTGTAATTTTCAGACATTTACTCTGTTTTTTATCATGGTCACAGTTAACAAGGATAGTTTCTTAAAATAAGATTGTTTCACTCTGGAGCAGACTATGCATTTTCTTAATCAATGTTGCACTTGAAATAATCTTCCAACAAAAAGAAGCAATATAAATGGAAAGCCCTAGCATACAATGGCTGCATGGGGTTTGACAGCGTGTAAACCTAGCCGTGAGTGGCTGCAGAGCCTAGAACCATCAGTGACAAATGACAAATGGATTCAATAAATACTTATTGAATGGATGGGTGGAATAGTTGTTCTTTGGTGGAGGACAACTATAGTTAAACCAAGTATAATTTCAAAAATTATAGCTAATGGTTGTGAAATAAACGTTTATACCTGGAATTTTGAACTTCTTTAGATCTTATGAGTTGTGTGCCTTATTTTTGTATCTATTCAAGTACATATTAGGCTTAATTGCTTTAATATAGTTTTAGGATATTTAATATATTTTCTGTCTTCTGAGACACTAAACTGTGTCAGAAACAGTCTTATCTAGGTCGCAAGTCCTAGGCCAAGGAGCTCCTGGCCCCCTTGTGATGCTGATGTGAGCTGAAGATGCAGTGAGGAGGAAGAAACAAGTGGAATGTTAGTCTTTTAAAATCAGAGCCAGTAATGTGGCTCTGGCCTCCAAAGTCAAACCACAGAAGGAGAGTCTCTAGTCTCACATCTATTCCAGACATGGAAGGAAAACTGCAGAAACATAAAGGGTTGCACAAGTAGAGTGCTGATGGTCCTGCTCCCTGGAGTGGGGGAAGCTTCCTCCGCACGTTTCTGCTTGGTTTCTTATGTCTCATTACTGTAGCGTATACAGACTGAAAAGCAAGAAACAGACTTTGCAAGGGTTGCAGGCTTCCCGAGCTTTCTATGTACAGGGCAAAGCCCGCAGTGTCTGGTTTTGTGTTTGCTCTTGCAGCTCTACGTGGCCACGGAAGCCATCCTCATCGCGCTGGTCGGGGCCACACCATCGTACCACTGGGACTTGGCCGAGCTCCTGCCCAACCAGAGCCACAGCAACCAGTCGGCGGGCAAAGACCAGGCCTTTGGGGACTGGCTCCTGACAGCCAATGGCAGCGAGATCCATAAGCACGTGCATTTCAGCAGTAGCTTCACCTCCATCGCCTCTGAGGTAACCCAAGGCCGTGCTCACTGCTAAAATATTATTTTTCCTTGTCTGGATAAAACCATTTTCTCTTACTGATTTGTTTTTTTAGCTGGATGTGGTGGTGCATGCCTGTAATCTCAGCACTGAGGAGGCTGAGGCAGGAGGATCGTTGCAAGTTTGAGACCAGCCTGGGCTACAAAGTGAGCTCAAGGCCAGCCTGAAGTGCATGGAGAGACCTGCCTCAAAAACAACAACAACAACAAAAAAATTTAGCCACATTTTCAAATAACTTTCTTGTAAATTTAAGAGCTAAAGGTTTTCATGTATTAAAGGCTATTATCCTATAAAAACATTCTTTTTCCTTCTTACTACACATGGGAGAAGTATGCATAGTACCAAATTAGTTAGATGGAATAAGATAAACTCCACAAGAGTCCATGGTGTCCTTTTAAATTCCAAAGAACCCCACAGTGTCCTTTTAAAAAGTAAATTAAAACTTTCATCTCTCTTTATTACATATGCAAATGTGAGCAAAGTAAAGCAAGAGAAATGTAATGACCCCTCTGTAAAGCCCGTGGTTCAATTTTTTAATCCAATCCTGTGTGAGGACCACATGGGGCACCGTACTCTGCAGTAAAGGTACAAGTGGTTCCCCTTCCTGCTTTGAAGGGGGCTTTGCTCTTGGACCCTGTCAACCAGTTAATTAATAGATTAATACCTGGAGCAGCAGCAATTTCTGGGACCTTTGCCAGCCCTGTATTCTGATTGCTGTGCTGGTCAGGTCCCTCTTCCCGAATCTCTTCAACCACTCCCCTGCAGGGTGCCAGAGTGCCTGCCAGCGCCCAGCGCCCTGCTCTCTGCATAGGTCCAGGCCTGGAGAGCATCCTCCTCTGTGTGCATATGTGTCTGCACCATGGCTCCAAACGCCCTTACCTGTCCTTACCAGCCTTTCCTGCTCTCCTTCGGGTGGGGCCTACTGAAAACAGAGGAGACCGGCTGAAGTTGATATCCGCTTGGCCTTCCCGAGAAGGCCCAAATCACTGCATTAACTTCCCAAGCAACTCCAAAGTGTTTCTAATCAGAACCCAGCCATATCTCCTCTGATCACCCAGAAACCTCCAATGATTCCCCCACTGCACACAAACCAGTAGAGACCCCAGGGCCACACTTCACAGTGTTGTCAGGGCGTTCTTTTCTAGCACCACCCAGCCCTTCAGGCTGACTCACGCCTATCCCAAGAATATTCACTGTTTCTCAGACATGCACTGGACTCTCAACTTAAACCTGTTACTGCGGCACGAAGGTCTTTACCGCTCACTCCAGCTTCTCCTGGTGAAATCCTAGCCTACCCTTTCAGGCCTGTGTTCAGCATCACCTTCCTTGTGAAACCCCTTCCCCAAAGTAACATTTTATTTACACTTCCATTACTGTTGTGTTTGTTTCAGCTCTGGTTTTTTTTTTTTTTTTTTTCTTTTAGAGTCCTTGAGGTCAGAAATGATGTTTTGGTCATATGTGTATTTCCAAGGTCTAGCAACAGTAGTAGCTATGATCACCACTAACCTATTAAAATAACAAGCAGCATTGTTGAATACTATGAGATATGATTAAAAACATGATGAATGTTATTTTTTAAGTTTGTTATAGTAAAGGACCTTGCCATTAATCCCCCTTCTTTGAACGCACTTATCCTGTTGTTCTCACAACTTTCTGAAGCAGTTATGGAATTCCTGTTTGCGAGGGTCGTGTTCGGTGTGACGAAAAGTACAGTAAGTAGTGCTGCCAGGTGCCACCCAGTGGAAAGGCCCGTGAAAGTACGGCGTCGTTATCCACCTTCTTCACAGGATCCGGCACCATGCAGCTTCTGGCTGTTCCTCAAAGTCAAAATGAACGTGAAAGGTAAACATTTTGAAACAGTTTAGGGTGTCAAGGCAGGCATGACAGCTCAACTAAAGACACGGAAGAGAACTTGTAGAACTGTTCCAGAACATGGCGAGAACGGTAGGATAACTGTGCTCAGAGTGAGGGCTATTTTGTTGGGGATGGATGGCAATATATTATTTACCTGTTTATTTTATTAGTAGATGTTGGTGGTGCCTAATGATTATATTTCTCATGTGGAGTTGGCGCATGTACATAATACATCTCAATTCTTTTTTTCTCTTCCTCTGCTGTTTTCCCTTCTCTCCCTTCTCTCCAGTTCTTGGTCCTCTTCTCATTTGCAGCTCTGTTTTCATCATTTTCCGCTTCAGTTCTCTTTTCCCATCTCCTCTCCCTCTCTTCTCTCCCACCTCTCCCCATGACTCATTCCCCCATGCCTTTGGAAAAGATCTCCCTACTTCCTGTCTTCCTGTTCATCTGTCTGCTATTTGAGCTTCTTGTATAAGAGAAACCTTGCGTTATTTAAACTTGTGTCTTATTTCACTTAATATTATGGTCTCAGATTGCATCCATTGGCAAAGTATTGCTCCATTGTGAATAAATACCACATTTCTTTTATCCATCGTCTGTTGGTGGGCCTATAGATTGTTTCCAAGATTTAGCTACAGTGTGTTGTAATCGTGCTGCTGTAAACATGGGTTATATCCCTCTAACTTTTTGGAAGATGGTAATGTATCTTTTACTGTAGTAAGTTTTAAAAATTTGAACATTCACCATGTTTCTGTACCACACCCTGTATGTCAGCCAGTATGACATTTTACAGCCCTTACCTCACTTAATCCTTGGGATAATACTGTGTGATGCACATTGTTTTTTCCATTTTATTCATTAAACAAATTGATACCTGAGGTCAAGATTAGCTAATAAGGACAGTGTTGGTATTTTTTTTTTTTTTTTGGTTTTTCTCCGGTACCAGGAACCGAACTCACGACCTTGCGCTTGCCAGGCAGGCGCTTTTGCCGCTGAGCTAAATCCCCCGCCCCAGTGTTGGTATTTGAACCCAAATTAACTGAGATGTCTGTGCTCTTAATTGTTGTACCTTTTTGAAATTTATTAATCCAAATTGATATGTTACACATCAGGTTTGTTTTTGTTTTTTTTTTTTTATAGGTAACAGTAGCCAAGTAATTTCCTTAATGTCCTTATTTGGAAATAGTTTCTGTGTTTCTTTTTTAAAAGTTTATTTTAAAAATAAAAGAAGGAAAACATATTAACAAACATACCCATTTACAAAATAGCGTAAGAACAATACACGCAATACAGAGTTACAAAGTGGTAGGAAATTAACAATGGTTGTTGTATTACGCATTGATGTTTTCAAAGGGGTTTCTCAGGAAAACAAATAGAGGCATGCAAGATTAATCAAATAAGTAATCATTAACTGTTCCTTTCAGTAAAGCGATAGAAGTCAGTAGTACAACTATGTTAGCTATCCTGTATATACATACATCCATAATTTCCCCTTCTTTCTTTTCTCTATTCCCTCACCCCAGTTGCTCTTTACTTTTGAATATTTGCCTTTCATTTCACAATGTCTATCATACCTCCTAATTTTTATTCCCTCTGTCAGGTTCTTACACTAGTGAGACAATACATTGCTTACACATGCAGGTCTGGTTTATTTCACTTATGAGTATGGTCTGTAGTTGTGACCATTTAGTTTCAAACCAACACAAATGTCAAGAATTGTACAGAGAATACCTTTATATCCTCTAGTCTCATCTGTTAACATATTTTGCTTCAGGGGCATTGTTGTCTGTCCTTATTTCTTTTAGCCATTTTAAGTTGCATGTGTCTTCTTACATCCACTTTACACCTACTTCAACGAGTGTTTCCTAAAAATGAAGACAGTCTCTTTCAATACCTTAGTTAGCAATTTAAGAGACTTTACACTGGTACTAGAGTTTTAAACTATACCAAGTTGGGTGTACCATCCATATCCAGTTTTGTCGCTTGACCTAATATTACTTTTTATAGGATTGTATTTTCTTCTAATTACATTGACTCTGGTTCACAATCACGTAATACGTTTAGTTGTCTCTTCAGGTAGCCTTTGACCTTCAGATTTCTTTTATGATGTTGATGTTGTTGCAGTTTGTATATTTTACAGTTAAAAAATAACTTTTATTTTAGGTCTGTCCAATGACTCCTCACTTGGTTTGGTTATGCTTCCTTGGTCAGAATAGTGCATAGTTTATGCTGTGTCCTTTTGAGAACGTCACATCTGGAGACATGCAATATCCATCTACTTCCCCACCATATGGTATTTGAGATTGAACCCAGGGCCTTTGCACTGATCTATATCCCCAGTCTTCTGCCTTTTATTTTATTTTATTTTTTTTTTTTGGAGCAGGGTCTTGTTAAATCACTGGGTTGCCCAAACTGGGCTTGAGTTTTGCAGTTGCCTCAGTCTCAAGTGTGGGGATTATGGGCATGCACAAACTCACGTGGCCCATCTGCCCCTTTTTTGACTACTATTGTTTCACTTTAAGGAATAAGAAATCAGTGGGGAATCACTTTCAGATTATGTAAATTTGTTCATTATCAGATCCCCAGCCCTAATTTAGTATCCCTTAATGATTCTAGAGGGAGCCAGTCTGCACAATGACAGTGGCACAGTGGTAATTAAGTCAGCATTTCTGCACATCACCAGCCTGTTCCTGCCTTGCTCTATGAGCAAGAGCTCTTTCTTCTCCCTTTTGTGTCTGTTGACCTATACTATATCTAGGTATGTACACACAGAGTTCTCTGCTTTTCAATAACTTACAGTTCTTTACACCCTTAGTTATGTTGTTGTGCAGTTAATCCTATTTACCAGTAGGAAGTTTTCAAGCTGGCTTTTATGTTCTTTGAAATTTTTTAATTAAAATTTTTATTTTAAAATAATTGTAGGCCAACCATGGTGGTGCATGCCTGTAACCCCAGCATTTGGGAGGCTGAGGCAGGAGGACTGCCACAAGTTTGAGGCCTGCCTGGGCTACACAGTGAGCTCAACTCCAACCTGAACTACATAGCAAGACCCTGTCTCAAAAATAAATAAATAATAAAATAATTGTAGACTTTCATACAGTTGCAGGAAATACTAT